CTCTGAGGGTGGTCGCCACGCATGCTTCGACCACCATCGCCTTTGTATATGTCGAGACGGCCCGATCCACCTGCCGTAGTCGTAGAAACTCCCGTCCACTGTCTATAGTCATAGCTGTGAACATAGCCCGAAGATCATTGACCACGATCTTGCTCGTAGGTCCATTCTTCATCGTGTCCTTCAGGCTGTACTGAGTTGAGGCATCTTTCTGTGCTGGTTGCGTGATACGGTCGATGTGCTGCTTGACTTTGAAGACTGCACTCGCTGCGATAATACTCAAAAGGGTGAGCATCATCATCACGACCGTTGTGGAAACGCCAAAATGGCTTTCATCATCTGCAGGGCTTGAGATCGCGACTGGCTGGTAGTCACCTTTAATTATCTCAGTAGCATCTGCGCGTCCAACTTGAAGAAACGCACCAAGACCCACCAAGCATTGGGCAAGTGCACCCATTAGCTCCAGCGCAGTTTACCGATCTGGCCCTTCTTGTCGTTGCTTGAACTCGAAACCCATCCGACTTCACCTTTTCCCGTAAGCCATACCCTCATTGCCGTCAGATGCTTCATGACATCGATCCTCGACAAATGCTTCGTCCCGATGTCTGCTGCATTCTCCTCGGCATGGACTATGTTGGTGCTGGCCTTCGTCTCCGCCTTCCGTGCGACGAGGCGCTTGATCCACAGGTCCTTCAGCTCGATATGGCGCATCCTACCAACTCCCTTCTTCTCGACATTCGTGAGCGCGCTAGAGATTGTTTTTTTATCCTCTGGGGGGTAACGCTCGTTACCCGGGCCTCTCCCCCCCCCCCCCCCCCGTAACGGTACCGCTCGTACGCGGGGGGGGTCTCGGTCTTCCCCTCCAACATGCTGGTGCCCGAAGGCATGCGCACTGTGGTGTGGTGGTCGCAGGCGCACTGTGGGCGCTCGCAGGCCATTGCGGCGCTCGCATGCGCGATGCTGGTGCTTGCGGGCTTTGCGCTTGTACTCGAATCGTCGTCGTCGTCGTCGACGGCGCCCGAAAAACGGCCTCCGGAGTCCGACAAAGGCACAAAAACAACGTCGTCGTCGTCGTCGTCGTCGTCCTCGTCGCTCGTCGTTCGTCGATCATCGTCGTCGCGCGCGCGGGCGCGGGCGTGGTGCCGGGACCACGCGGCGGGCTTTGCGCTTGTACTCGAATCGCAAGCCACTGTGGTGCTCTCAGGCAGAGAGTGCTGCTCGCGCGCATACTATGGCGATCGCAGAGCGCCCCTGCCTCGCCATACCCCGCCCAGCCCAAGCGTTACCGTTACCCGAGGGGCACGACCCCCCCCCCCCCCCCCGGGTAACGAGCGTTATCGGCCAGAATAAAAAAACAATCTCCTAGAGTTGTCACTCTCCAGCGTCACAGGCACTGCGTCGTCCAGGAGCTCCTTGAGATATGTCTGGGCACCCCTCGCCTCGATACCGACGTGCACGAGCGCGTTGAACTCGGCCTCGGGCGACGATAGTGCTGGGGCCCCTTGTGGTTTGACAAACTGCATGATCAAAGCTCCATTGAGAAACAACTGACCACTGCTGGTAGACTTCCTTCCGATTGGATCATCAGCCCAGTTTGAATCTGCACGTCCTATGATTCTGAACTCACCACTGTCTGGATACATACATGTCACCGACGGCGGATGAGCTCGAATGAACCTGCTTTTACGAATAAGTCTCGTATGGTCTTGCACCGTTGGTCTTGACACCCCCCTCGAGCACTCCTTCGCCGCGTACTGGCACTCGGGCCTCTCTAAGCAAACGAACATGTTGAGGCCGTTGGTGCTCCTGAACCTCGCGGCCGCCTTTGCGTCCAACTCCTCCTCGCTCTCGACCTCCCTCTCATTCTTGATTCCAGGTATTGGGCTCGTCTTCTTATCATTGGGCTCAGAGTCGAGTAGCTTCTTCACAATAGCAGGCCACATACGAACTTGAATACCCTCGGGGGTACGGAGCCAGCCACGTCCAAGATGCTTGATCTCTGGACCACCGACCGCAAGTTCTGAAACCTTAAGCAGAAAGTGTGTGCCGAGCTCCTCCAAAACTCTGCTGGCTGAAACTCTAGGCCCAATCAGTGTACCGTCATCGACATGCTTGGACATCGCCACCTGATTTGTTTTGTCTGCGAACTTGCACGGATCAGACAGAAACCTCTTGAAAGTCATCTTTGATTCATCACTCCGCCCTGTAGCAATGTTCTCGAAGTGGTCATCGACATCTATCATTGCCTCGTTGGGTCCATAAACTGTCTTGTTGAGCTTGAAAACCAAATCTGAACTGTCTGGTAAGTGGCAGTACTCCTTCGGAACCTCAGCATAAACCAACTCCCGAATAGGTGCATACAGAAACGCTCGATCTACATCGAAGAAGTAAATCGCAAAGTCCTTGACGATAGCGTACACCATGAACAACTTGAGTGAAAACGAAAGTGGGGTGGGGCAGTACAGCTCGTTCTTGCTCTCGTTGATCTGCTCACCGAATGGCCTCGCACAAAGCCTTGCCTTGAGCTCGCCACTCCTCATCTCCAAGACCCATGTCCACGTAAGAGCCTTGGGCCCCTGGGGGCCCCTGAGGGTGAGCTCCCACACGTCGTAGTTGTCGAACCGATCCAACTCGCACTGCTTCGCCTCCCACTCGTCGTCCTCCGCCCAGCCCATCACGACGCTGAACTCGCTGTCATCCTTCATCTCCTTGTCGACCTCGGCCACAAGCCTCATCATCTCCTCGGTGCTGAAGCCTGCCACGAGCCTCTTGAGGTCCTCCGTACTCATGTCCTCGATGGCTCCCACCAGACCTCGATTGCCAGGTGGGCCCCCAGGGCCGCCTTCACCAAGGTCTGCGTCAGCAGCTCCCCGTTTGCTAGACGATCCCGGGGTAGGAGCCTCCTGATTGCCACGAAGCCTCCTCTCGATCCCATGCACCTGCTGCCGGACCTCCGAGACTGGATCTCGACTTTGTGCTGGCTCTGGCCCTGCTGGTGCTCGTTGATCTCCATGGTCTGCCTCGGAGCTGATCGCGGGCACTGGAACCACGACGACCTTGGGCTGCTCCTCGGTCTTGCTGGCAACAGTCTTCTCATACTCGGCCCGGCGTTGCTGGCATGTCCTGCTGTGGTGTGGTGGTCGGCCGCGTCCGTGCTGACCCTTTGCTGCGTACTCACACCCAGGACATCCTTCCGTTGGCTGCCAGTTCTCGCCGTCATAGACTCCAGCCTTCACCGAGGTCTTCCACGGCGTCCATCGCATAGCTCTGAGAATCTCCGTATCGAAACTCTCCTCCTTCGTAAGCTGTTTCACCGTCCTGGCTTGAACTATCCCAGTTGCTGTACCTATGATGTGAGCGTCACTCTTCGTACTGCGTCCATGCCACATTCCTTTGCACCAGGCCGTGCCCAGCTTGCCCTGCAGCTCGGTGTGCTCCTTACCGATTATCATCTCCCCGAACTCCAGCATGGGTGATGTATACGGTGCCAATCTCAACTCCTCAAAAGATGCGAGACCGCTGCTCCTCATCCGCTGGTATCTGTTGTGGCAGAATATCTGATGACGTATCATCCAGGGAATGACGGGAATATCCTCAGTGAACTTCATGTTGTAACGTTTCTCCAGAGCCAAACGCCCAGTCCTGGCAAGACCTGCTACAGACTTGACTCCACTCTCAGCTCCTCCTTGAGACGCATGGCTTCCTTTCGGAACCAGCCGTACTCGGAGTTGAGCCTCTGCAGCCTCCTTGCCAAGCTTCTTGATACGCTCAGAAACAACCCCATTCATGAGGGCCTCCAGTGCAGGTTCACCGTCCAACTGCACCTCCATGCTCATGTAGCCCAGCTAGTCCAAGAACTCGCTGATGGCTGCCATGGCGTAGCTCTGGTTCCCTTTCGCCTCGACAACAACTCCCATGAGGTACCCAGTCCTTCGGTCCTTGCCCACCGCCAGGGTGAGTTTGTGACCAGCGCCATCTTCGCCAAGACTGAGAAACCCATAGTCAAATGAGACAACTGGAGTAGCCGATGCGTTTGGGTCCCTTGCGCGGTGAGGGTCTTCTTGCCCCCTTCCCACCATGCACTCCTGACACCAAGCCTCGAAAGGTACATGACCTCTCCGAATGTGCGCTCTGGCAAGTTCTCCCAACACTTGAACTGGCCTCTTGAGACCAGGTGCGGCGGGCGCCCCCAGCGAATCCTGGGCCCCACCAGCGGCACCACGTGGGCCATCACGTGAACTAGCCGCTCCACTGCTGACCTGCATCTCGGCAGGCTCCCTCTCGACGGACTCCTCCTTCATCTGTGCGTCCTCCTTCTCAGGTTGATCGTCGACGTCTCCGATGATGGGCTCGTCGCCCGTCGGATCCTTGAACTTCATCGGAAGAAGAAATGCATTCACCTTCCGACGTAGCTGGGGTGAAACAGTAGACCCCAGAGCTTTGTCAATCTCATGCTGCACATTCTCGTTGCTTCTGAACATCTTGGCTCCAGCAGGGTCAAAGTGCACTGAATAACCTGCATCGTTCATCTCCGCGACTGAAAGAGCACCTCTACGGACTCCAGCTGGAGTGACGTTGAGCTTCGCCCTGATCGTCGTGTTTGAACCGAAGACCTCTCCAGTCAACGTGCGCTTGTCCCATGTCCGTATACCCTTACCAGTAACCGGTCGCAGAGATTGACCTGGCTCGCCCGTGAGTTCGCACCCCTCCGTCATAGGCTTTGGTACGACATGAGTGTGAGCTCCACTGTCAACGAGCATCTCGCATTCGTCCCCGTCGTGGTCGTCCGTGAACGCAAAAATCCAACCCGCTTCGTCTTCTGGTAGTATTGCCGCCTGCGCCCGTCCAGGCACACGTGTTGTGGCCTGTGTAGGTGCCGACATTTGTGATGTTGAATCGCCTGGAAGTGACCGTACTTGCTGTGCCCGATCCAGGTGGCTGTGAAGATCCTGGCTGGACCTCTGACACGGACCGTTGACCTCCTCCAGACTGGTACGCGCCGCCTCCGTACTTCCTGCAATCCGCCATCTTGTGCCCATAGTTTCCACAGTGTGGGTTAGAGTACCATCCGTCGAAGAACTTCACCTCTCCCTTCTTACTCTTTGTCTTGCCTTTACCGTCGCTTTTGCCGCCTCGGCCCCCTGCGCCCTTTTGGCCACCCGCCTTGCCGCCCTTCATGTCTGACCTGCCGTAGCCCTTCCCCTTGGAGTCGCCCTTCCCACCTTTGCCGACGGCGTCTACGTCCATGGCATTGGGGTCGAACTTCTTCTGAGCCGTCTTCCTGTCTCGCTGGCTCATCTGCTGAGCGAAGGACTCGCAGGTCTCACGTAGAATATGATAAGACGTGAATGTCTGCATCATCACTTGTGTCCTGAGCGGCTCGGGCGTGTTCTTCTTGATCATAGCCTGGATGAGGGTGTCCGAGATCATCTCACTGAACTTCTCTTGGTACCGATTGACGTCCAACAGAAAGTTAGTGAGCTCTTCGACGTAGGTCTCCCATTTGCCTGAAAACTCTGTGTTCACTAACAGCTGCAGCTGCGTCACCTTGTTGGAGCTAGTTGCCGCATCTTCTCGCATGCATAGTCGTCTCCACTGCTCCAATCCATTTCCTTACTCGCAGTTCATCACCAAGGTGAGCGCGCTGCCTCCCAACAACTGTGACAGAATGTATCCCATCGTTGCTGCATACTGCTTGCTATCGTCTCCCATCTCGGTCAACGTGATGACCGTGTTGTGGCTGGCTGCCGTTGTCACTGCTGATGCCAACCTCGGGTCAATCGCACCAAGGTAGCTGATCAGCTGATATCTGAAAGTCGGAAACTCATCTCGATTGCCTGAATACTTGTTCGGTCGTCCCAGCAGGCGCGTGTCCACAAGACCAGCCATCTGGAGAAGAAACCAATCACGCTACCATGCAAGTGCTGAACTAATAAGTGTATGTTATCTTGATAACTTCGGGTAGCGGAGCTGGGGTCCACGGACCTTGCCCGACAGGGCTGGCGAAATCTCTTTTCCACCTCAACATGAACTGAGCCAAAACTGGCTCTCCACAGTACACAAATGTCACAACAGCGCATGCACAACAATCCTCACTCAATTCACTGATCTATACTTTGGTTCCTGCATATATTTGTATATAAAAAATGAAAAAAAAAAAAATCCAGCTTAACAGTAACAACAAACATGAGTATAAGACGGTTGGCCCTGTTTACTCGCGTGCCATTTCAAACGTATACCCCAAACCCTCGATGCCCGCCCTCTTCGTCTTCGATCGTACCTCCTTTTTTCTGGGGGGGGGCATGTATTCCTTACCTGCCGCGCGTAATTGGTGCAGCCCCTAAGGTAAGGGAAGACAGGACACATGGAAGGGCGGCGGAAAAATCTGGAGCACGGGATTCGCAGGAGGGGGGCCAGGAGCAGGAAGCACGTGGCAGAACCGGACGGGCTGATCTGGCTGATAGAACCTGACGGTCGGGTCGGGAAGGCGAGCCCAAGCGGCCAGGTCGAGCTGCCGCAGCGTGAGTATTGCATGAATTGCGAGGGAATATTGGGCGACAGTGCGATTCCGAAGTGAATCGCGAGAAGAAACGATGCGAGAGCGCGATTCCTGAGCGTCGAGGCGCGGCGCCGGAAAAACTTGTCAGAAAGTCCAACGCGAGAGCGCGACTCCCACAAAAAATGTGAGGACGTCCCGCGCCTCAGCGCGATTTTGATATAAATGGTTGGGAAGTATCAGGCGGGAGCCGCTGTTGTTGCAAACCGAGGGCCAACAACGCAGCTTGGTGGCCCCAGATCTTAAATGCTACGACGCAAAGGGCGAGCCCCGGGAGGTGTACTTCAATTGAAAAACACAAAGGTCATTTGGCAGGGGAATCAACAATAGTTACTCTTATGATATGATGGTTCCACAACAAAAACAACAACAACGACGACAGCAACAACAACTTGAGGAGGAGGAGGAGGAGCAACAAAAACAACAACAATCAGTCAATCCGAATGTTTTACGGTTTTGTATGCAGCACGCATCCATCATGATATCCCCCGCAAAGGATTGGGGAGTTTCTGCACTGGGGGGCCCGGCATTCTCTTACCCGAGATCCCGCCCGAGAAGGTCTTGACACCGCTTCTTCCGAGGCGTTTCAACATCCAGCCCACGTGGCACATCGCCTTCGCAATCGCCCTGCTAATGCCTTGTTTCTAGATATCAACACGCCCCGGTGGCCAAAAACCGTTGGGAGAGGCCTTACAACCTGTGGGAGAGCCCCGAGAGCCCCGCGGAGAGCTCCCGGAGCTCTTTGGGCAGCCCCCAGAGTTTTTCAGAGAAGTTTCGGAGCCCCTGTAGGAAACCCGAAAAGGCCTTTGGGAAACGCTTCGCAGCTGAGCTGTAGGGATTCGGGGCTTCTCGAAGGAGGCCGCAGGCATTTTTGAGAAAAGCCTGGATCTGAGGAGCTTCTGGGGCCCGGGGAGAGGAGGAAGACGAGGAGGGAGAGGAGGAGGAGG